CTCACCTTCCTACTGTCCACTGGTTTGGTGCTACTCTGAATAGGTATTGGTAATCTGCAAGGAGACACTCCCCCCCACCCCCACCTTATGTGGGTGGAGTCTACTACGGCATATCTACTAGATTACCAGTCTCCCTCCCTCCTCTTCACATGGCCTTGGCGCACTTTTGCACATCGAAAAAAGGACGAACATGGTGGATGCCTTCATGGGGTGGGGGCAAGTAATGGGGGCTCACCATTAGTGATGGAGAATATCGCGAATGAAAGTAATGGACTCGGAAAATAATGCATAGGTATTGGTTATGTGGTAAGTATGCAGTAGTAGACTCAATGCACATTAGGTGGCTGGAGAAAATTTACAATGGCAAAATTCAGTAGTTTCTGGAGAGATAAATCTATTTGTCTTTATGCCCTGCAACACTCTGACCATGTACTGTCTTGAAGACAAAGGATTCAGAAGTTTATAGACTCTGGCATAACTTTTATGAACTACTCTTCCAAACAGAACCTCCTTCATATTTTCACTTCCTTGACCTGTCATTGACAAGCTGCCAAAAATTAAATGAAAAGGAATTCAAAATACCTGTAAAACTGAAGACAAATGGACACTGGTTGATTGTGGTGTGGTGGTCAATGTACACTTATCAAAGTCCTGGATCAGAATGACCCAGAGAATTTAGGCCTATGCACCCCTCCAATGTCCCCCAGGAAGTGACATCATCCCCCAACACATACCCAACACATACTGTTTCATGTACAAGTAGGGCACCTCACACGGAACAGTGTGAGCACTACGTGTTTCAATAAAAATGGGGGGGGGTGTCCTAATACTCAATATATGCATATTTTATTACGAGATAAATTAAAACACTTTGATAAATTAAAACATGTGAACAGTAAAGTAAATATTAAAATTTCAATGAAATTTATTGCAGGGTTGTGTGATTTAAATTGCGATTTAAATTATTTTTTTGAAAAAGTCACTGATTTAAATCAACATATTTAATTGTGTGGGTATAAAGGCAAAAATGTTTCAATTTTTAAATTTTTTACTGATTACAAATGTTTGCAGGTTTTGCACATTTTAAACAGTAAATCTCCCCTCTGTGAGCCTTCCAGTTCCTAGTACTAAAGAAGTATGAGTGTACATGTGTTACACAAAATTTGGGTTGGTAAGATTTTTATGTTCAATTCTGTCCACTTGTTTCAATTTAAATCAGCTTTTTGGATTGAGTAAGTGTATTTGATGCAAAGGATTTATAACCAGAATTTAATTTTATTTCATTTAAATTGCCCACTTCAGAGTTTAACCATAGAGGAAGGACACGGAAGGAGTTAGAATTCTGGCACTTCAAAGTGCTCGATGAGCATTGCCGCCCGGTCATACAAAAAACAATAGTCATCATCATCATCATGGTGACGCCAGTGTGCCGGCAGTGCATGGGCGTTGCTCAGTGGCTGACATAATAAGTTAATTGTCAGTTTCCATTGTTCGGCATTCAAAGTGGCTAGTTGTAACTGATTGAGGCTGATTTCAACAATCCTCATATCATCAGAAAGTTATTGGTAGGTTTGCATACGTGCGCTGCTTCTACAGTATGTTTCTGTTGGTTGGTTGTTTCTGTCCAGGAGCAACGAGAGTGGAGCATCATGCCTAATTGTGTGTCCTATCAGTTGTAAGCACTGTTTGCGAAGCGTTGTTGTAGTAAACATTCCATAAAAGCCCTATTACTGCCTGCAGCTTTAGCCAGACAAGTGGGCCCAGTTGTATCCTAGCAGTATTAATTTGTGCATTTTGTTTGCAATTAACTACAACTTACCATGGCCAGGAAATAGAGAGCAAAAAGGCTCTGACATTAGATCTACTTTTGCTATCGGAAAAATCTTGTTTACTTTGATACGCTGTTGCGTTATCCATGCAATGTTTGTAATTTTATTTTGTCTTTACAAAACATCAGTTTTTAAAGTCTTTGTACGAATTTTGCTAAGACTGGCCAATGTGATGCTGACCACCACTGGACAGTTATTATAAGTTCATAACAAACAAAATATGCTATTTCATCACGAGGAGCGCACAAGAGATCTCACGAAATACCTTTCTGTATAAATACCGTAAAAAAATGATTCAAATAAAACACAATATCTTATAAACACCTTGGCTATTCATTTCCAAGGGCAATGACTGCACATGAACACTACTTAGGTAGTGTTCATGTGCACACAGGCACACAGGCCAATACAAAGCAACTGTGCAAGCATTAAATTTGCTGTTGTTTTCAGATCATACCAAGCACCATCGGTGGCATGAATATAAAACTTCCGATACTGCGATGTACAACGTTTTAAGAATGCAGATTACCAGTGAAACATCCTGGCAGTGATCATAGGTACAGAAGGGGCTTATGGTCGTGAAACAGGTGGTGCTTAGCATGCGATTGCAGCAATTGCGGTAATTGGCCGCATGTTATAGCCCGGGTAGTTCGAACTTCTGTGTCCTTCCTCCATGGTTTAATATGGTAAAATATCAGTGTACATCAACAGTTTACATCTCTACAAGTATACACTTACATATATTTTATTAAAATTGGAAACGTTAAGTCATTATAGTGTAACTAAGAATACTAAATTCACTAAAGTAATTTTTAATCAAGCCTAAGTCAATTGCTCTATGAAGCTGGATCATAAACAAAATTAGACTGCTTGTTGCACATTGAGCAAGGTAAAATACCAGCATTTTGGACAGGCACACATGTAGCATGCAAAATAAATGCATACATACCTGATGTTTATGACATTTCATTTAGTTTGTTTCATTCTTATTGTGGCCCAGCAAGCCAAATTACAAGAATACTACAAGATTCATATAAAGTACATCAAAAAGACATCAAAAATAACAAGTTCAACCATATAAAACACCAATCACGATTTACATTTATTTAAACCTCAAAATAGACTAATTAAAATTCATGTAAAATACATTATAAGTACATCAACAAATAGGACGGACAAACACGTTGATCACTAATCATAATTATAATTCTAATAATTGAAACGAATAAAGACTAAACAAAGAGAGGAGCTCAAACCTACTTCAGCGGGGTGGACTTTGTATGATTTCTCTATTATTGCATGAATTTCATAAGCCACAAGAAGGCCTGTATAGATTCTCTAATTATGAATTTAATAGATTATGTAAATGGAATAATATTTACCACTAATGGGTCATTAGGGAGACATTCCCATAAGAGCGTGCACAAAATTTTCCAACTTTACTGTCCCATAATTCAATATTCCCTGATCTGATCTGAAGCAAACTTTGTATGTTTTCATTATGAACCTAATCTATCATCTCTCAAAATTTGGACAGTAAAATTCGGTCTCTTTTTGGTAGTTTGAAAATAGGGAGACACTGAAATGTCTCCCTAAAAGCCAATGTCTCCCTAACATGCCTAATGCTGAAAAATTTACCACAAATGTCTCCCAAGTGACTTATTTGTAAATATAGGGCTATTCTTAAATTTACTAGTCCTACAGGGTAGCAATGAAATAAAATTAGAGTTACTCAACTCCCTGCCACGAATGGTTATCCTCACAGGACATGACATGTTACTCACTTATTAGTCATTTGATGCATGTTCATGTATTATTACAAGTATCCTGTTAACAAATTTTTGAACTCTACTTTTGTCAAAACTGACGAGTTCAGTTTAAAACCTGGTATGCGCTTTATCCTGAGGGTACATGTACCGGTAGGTGTTATTCTGCATGCACTTCACCAAGGCTAAGACATGGTGGTTTGTGATTTTAATCAAATTACTTGATGTAAATTTCTTAATTTAAATCCGAATTGGTTCAATTTTGTCACAAAACAAATAAATGAAAGAAAACTATGACACAGATAATTTGCTTGCTTTTGAATAGACAGCCAACTTGTCTCAAATTTTTATAACAATTAAAAAAAGCTGATTTAAATTTTGAAAAAAATCTGATTTAAATTTTGAAAAAAAATCTGATTTAAATTTTAAAAAATCAGATTTTTTTGAAATCAAAAAGGTCAACAGCCCTGATTTATTGATTGTGATTTCTTTTGTTGACCTTTTTTATGGGGGGGGGGAGAAATTGAGAATTTATTACAAATATGCTTAACAGAAAAACCCAGGGGAATCAATAAGCTCTTGGGGTTTTGGCGACTGGCTGAATTTCAAGAAATTTATTTCCATCAAATCCCATTGAAAAGTATTGACAAGTTTGAAGAGCAGACGAGAAGAGACAAGGGCATGAGTTGTGTCCCATGAGCACAGCTGTCCACATAAACAGAAGTTTTATAACCGGCAGGTCTCCGTCAAGGTCAGAGTGAAGAGAGTAGCACATGGGAACAGTGATATTGCTTCAGTGTCCTCCACTCAGCCCACATCTCAGGAATAATTGGCACATAATACCACCACAGCTTTCCACCCTTGTAACCAAGATTGCATAGTTACAATGCAGTAGACACGACATATCAACTGTGGGAAAGGTCACCGTTATCCATCAATTTTTGTGGCCTGGCAACATAGCCAGCGCTTGCGACATGTGAATGATATATATGGGCGGTTGTACATGTACATGTAGCATATCACATGATCAATTAGTGACCAATAAAAATTCACTACCTACGAGCGTGGTATAACAATGATAGTTGTGTTATTTCATGCATGAGCATGTTGGTGTGAGAGTGTAGGATTATTATGAATACTTATGCTTCCTGTTTAGTGGTGGTGTTCTTGTGATACATATGTATGATACTGAAGCTCTAGCATTATGCAACCGTAACATAGAAAATGTTAATTTTCTTCTGTTGCACCCATTTAATTTGGACAAAATTACTGAAACTACAAATGTTCAGTAAATGGTTAAGCATTGTTCAGATCCAGAAAAAGGGGTCATATACTAAGACAGTTAAAATACCCAAAGATGGTGGATATTACACATTTATACAAAAGGTTAATGATTTTGTAATAGGTACTGAATATGTCAGGAAATGAAGATATGTGCTACTATAACTTCCTGTGCGCAATGCCCCTTGGACAGATTAGGTGAGTCTCACATCTTCCATATTTACATTAGCAGAAAGAAGTATATGAGGCAGTAGGCTTTTACCTTGATATGTTGTTGATTATGAATCAGGCAGATATCCCAGTTACCTTTGTACAGAGACTCATGTACATGTAGATGCAAAGTTGATCACCTACATTGTACACTCTAGAGTGAATAGACTTGAAATGTCTCATATCATGACTTACAGCTTGACATCCCTTTGGGTGTGGCTACTTTCTATTGCATTAATGTGTATGTAGAGGATGTCTTAATCACTTGCTGCCGGGAGCCTGGTTTCGGAGACGTTGGCTTTATACGCATAGCTGGGTTGCCTGAAACCGGACAAAGGGAACTGGGCCTTGTAACAAAAGACCATACTTGGAACAAAAGACCAAGCTGCTGGAAATTTCAGTTATTTCAGTTATCAATAGTAGGGAAATCTGTCATTGTTTTGAAAGCTTATACCACTGTTTGTGGCATTCGGTTTGAGCAAATTACCACCAGAGACAAAACCACTCCAGCAATGAGTGCTACAATACCGCTTTACGCTAATCTGGCCCCTATTTCAAAGACATCAGCAGTGCACTGTGCTGATTTCTGGAACAAAGAAACTTGCATACATGTAACACGGCACAATCTGGGCTCTCTTTACAAGGCTGCAGGTCTGGCTGAAATATTCAGGCATCCTGTAGATCTTGTCTGTCAGAGTAGCCACCAGAAAGTCATTTGTCTGGGTGTAAACATCCAGTAAATAAAGTTATCATTTTTAAAGAATTTTGAAAACAGAAAAAAAAATAAAAAGTACCTGGCCCAGCAAAATCAACATGGATAAATGGGCCTGGCGCGAAGTGGATAATGCTATTTATATGGTAGTGAGCAACTGGGAGGATGGAATAGTTTTACATATTATGTGCAGTGTGATGCTTAGAACAGTTTCTCTAACCATAACTCTTCAAGGCCTTCATAATCATCAAAAGGCCTTTTCAGTTTCAAATTTCAGTAAGGTTTTTTTTTCTTGTTGGTGCTCAGTGTATTTATCTTGTTCTTCTCTGTTTTCATATAGTGCTTTTAACAATGTTTTTAGTAACATTGGATATGTCATGTTGGGCATCCTGTACTTAATGATTGTGTGGAAGAAACATCATATTCATAAACAGGCTATGACATCAGACAGTGAGAAAGCAAAGGTGGGTGACAAGCTGCAAACATGAATTTACCAGAAAGAACTTTTCAAATTCAATAGTCCATTGGAAAAAATTACTACCTCGTAGTGTGCACTTATCTTGGGGTTCTGAATGCATTTTTAAATGCCCAATTTCACGAGAAGTTTCAAAAAGCTCAGATTTATTTCATGAAATTTCATTACGTGGACTGGTGTATTGATTAGTCATGAGATGTATTGCTCAGATATTTCAATTCCGCTAAATGAAATCCATAAAATTTACCCTCGCTGTTGTGAACCAAACATCCATTAGGGAACAATACTGATGTGCCATATTTACCATTAGTGTTAGGAAAAGTTCAAGGACATGTTTACTGAAATCAAAATGTTATGCTTAAAAAATCACGACATAATCAGTGGGGATAGAAAATTTCTGTTCAAAAGACTTTCCAAATGTGACTCATTGATATTCCTCACTACTTGAAGCTGAACAATACATTCATGGCTTTTAATTCATTTTCATTCATCCTCTTCATTACTCTTTGATTTCAAACTAGAAGAAAGGACTCAGGTGCATAGTTTATAAATGTTATCAAGAACATAAAACAGTAGTTGTAATTAGTTGATTAGTAAATATTGGTTTGACTTGTGAGTTTATAACAGCAATATTACCTACATGTTGAGAAGGTCTTCAGATGGGTAGCAAGTGTTGGTTCACTTCGTTGCTCTGACAAACATTACTTTGCCTTTGACAATTGGTGTTAGTTAGTTTACCAGCCTATCCCATCTACACGTAGACTTGGTAAGAGATTTTACATCGTTCTTTTCCTGTAGACTTGTGGTATACCGAAGCACTTTGGCATGTTTTATGCTTTGGGTATTGCACTTGTCATGGAGGGTGTGTTGAGTGCCAGTTACCATGTCTGCCCTAACTCCTCCAACTACCAGTTTGGTGAGTATATAAACACACTCCAGACTACATTTATTTACTTATTACATATTTTCAAGCAGAAGTTTGTTGTAATAATTTTAACAGGGGTTTTTCTTTGCCCCCTGTTATTGCAGAAGGCAACCATTTAAGATTTTGTCAAACTTTTGATTTCTAAAAATAAATTTTTGTTTTAGAAAAAAAATGTTTTTCGGAACTAATTGAAAATTTACAGGGGCACAAATTTCAATGTCATTTTCTCTCAGTTTCTGCTCTTTATTTCGCTTTTGTCTTCGGAAAACTTAAAGTTGTTGTAGCTGTTATTTTTTGGTTGAAAAGGATTTTGCACTGCAATAAATCAATTAAAAAAATAAACAGCCTTTGCTTTCTCCCTGAGCATCCACACAAGATCAAAAGAAATTAATAAGACCAGAACGATGAATGTTTAGTGAACATGTACATAGAACACACTACATGCAGTGTCGAACACAATGGATCATGTTATGTTTGTTGTAGCTTGGCCCGCAGGCAAACACTGTCTCAAATCAAGGTAGAAAATTAAAAGACGCAGTCCTACCGTGTGCTTCTTGAGCTGAAACAGTGGTTGGCCAAGCTACATCGGACACAATGTGGTCTATTGCGTGCTAAACTGCATGTACTATGCACTATGTAAACGTGCACTGTACATGCATTGTTCTAGCGATGACGTCATCCAATCAGACTGGTAGCCCGAATGGCTAAAAGGGATGTTTTGTGGGCGGGGAAATGCAGGATCTTATTTCATTTTGCAGTCATTCACAATTAAAGGGCTAAACATTGAATTTATTATGTTTATGAAATGGATACCTATTTATTGTTATTTTGAAAAACTGTTCGTGAACTACATGTTCTCTATTTCTGTAACCTTTTAAGTGCATATTTAGTCCATCGGCCCTAGAGGGTGTCAGAAAATAATCATCACCGTGTCATCAACAGGGGTTATGTGGCATGAGATTAAAGTTTTGGTTTTTCTGAGAGCTGGGTCTTGTAACAAAAGACTACTTGGAACAAAAGACCAGGCTGCTGGGAATATTTTTTCAGTTTTCAATAGCAGAGGAAATCCCTCATTGTTTTGAAAGATTATACCACTGTTTGTGGCACTCAGTGCGAGCGCATTACCACCAAGGACAAAAGTGCTCCGGTGCTCTAGGGTTGAGCAATACAATACCGCTGCATGTTAATCAGATCCACATTTGAAAAGATGCCTATAGTGCACTGGGTCAGTTCCGGAAACAAAAGAAAATTATGTAACACTGCACAATCTGGGCTCTCTTTACAAGGCAGCAGGCCTGGCTGAAATACTCGGTCGCCAATAGATATTATCTGTCAGATTAGAGTAGCCACTAGACAGTCAGTACTGTGGGTGTAAACATCCAGTAAATGAAGTTATGAATTTTTTTAGAATTTTGAAAACAGAAAATCTTAAAAATCCCCAGTTTTTAAGAGGCCATTTCATCACTAAGCAATATTTGAACTTCATTGGAGTTACACCAAAGAAAAACCTTGATGCATTGGTGGTCCTATAATAAAGACGTCAGGATGACGTCATCTTTTGATTTATTGAAACAATTTGAAAGTTTTATTTTCCATTGATTCAGTACACAAGTTTCTAGAGGCCCTTTTGGAGATTTAGCAAACTTGGATCTTCATCAAAGCTATTGCAAAGAAAGACCTTAGCGTATAGATATTAGATGGTCCTGAACCCATGACCTTATGATGACGTCACCTTCTGACTTATAAAATTTTGAAGATTTATATTTCCCATGAACTTTGTACACACTTTTCAAGAGGCCTTTTTGGTCACTAAAGCAATTTCGGATCCTCATCAAAGTTACATCAAATAAGAGAGATATTTTTGAGTTAATGTTCATTGTTTGGGTTTTTATTTACACTCAGATACGGCCTTCATGTACATCATAGCTGGCTTAGGAATGTTGATGTTGTATCAACAAAGACATCCTGATGTCAATGCCAATGCCTATGCAGCTTTTGCCACCTTTGCTGCTGTCATTTTTGTTGCTTTTTTGGGGGTGGTAAGTAGCAAACAAAATGATTGTTGGTTTCTAAACACTTGCGTAAAAACAGCACAATATTAGGCGTGTCATATTAGGCTTATGCGTAATGGAAAACATACTAAACCAAAATGATCTTGCCATCTGACCAATTAAAAAAATAGTTTCAGAAACTTTTTTCCAGGCTGGATCATTAAAAAGTTGTCCTATCTAAAAATTGTCACAGAGGGCAGCACGTGAATTGGCCAAAATTATGACATGATACATAGGAGTATTCTAGCTGGTTATTTCAAATTGTTCCGAGTGGTGAGTGGCCATGCAGTGATTATGCATGATATGAAGACACACCGTTCTGTGATGCAGCTGGCATGGCAATATGGGCCTGCCTCATGCAGTGTATGGAATCTGCACGGATGTCTCGGCCCGGCTCCAGCTACAGTCAGTGGCAGTGGTAGATAAAATCAGTTGTGCATGACCAAAGTCATGGTATGCCCAATAACTGCATTGTTGGAAGCAGCTGCCATCCTCCACAGAATAGCCCTGATACAAATTTCTTCACAGTTCCCTCACAAATTTGTGTCATGAGTTCCACATTATACCTTCATGTGCATTTACATAGATATATGTATTGAGTTCATTGAAGTTCAACAGTTTTGCTTATAATTTCACATAAGTCAAGTATTTCTAGTGTTCAAATGAAATGTACATTTGACTTTCAAACAAAACAAAAATAAAACTTGCGATGTGTTGACAAGTTCCGTGACTACAGTTCGAAACGCATCGCAAGTTACAATGAGTCTTTGGGTTGTCGTAACTACACAAAAACACATTGTAGGATTGAAAATGACGCTGATGCTCATGGCAGATTGTGAAGCAAGATGGGCCCTAAGGAGAGAGGGACTTTTCAGGGAAAGGCGCAATCTTCAATTGTCATCATAGTTGCAGCCAACAAAAACAAAACCAAAAATACTCAAATTTTATAACGTCATAATGACGTCACCTTCTGATTTCTTATTGATTTTTTAATATTTTATATTCCCCATAGGTTTTGAACATGTTTTTTGTTCCACAGCCAGTCTTCGGCAATTTTCTTGGTCTGATTGACTTATGTATTAGGTGTGCACACTTTCAGTCCCCCAGCTAGAGAGGGTTAAAGAACAGCATCGTCATAATGACGTCATACGGTGTCATGCGACATGACATTAAAGGAGCAAACTTCAAAGCCTTATATCTGCTGAAGTACATGTCCAATTTAGCTGAAACCGTGCAGGTGTCTAGAAAGAGAAGTGGTACAGATAGAAATTGACATGATGTGATGAGGACGTCATCATGTGCCAAGTCATGTGACATTGAAGGTGCACTCTTCAGAGCACTTATCTCTTGAAGTACATGTCGTACTGAATTCAAACCTGCAAATATCTTGCAAGAGGAAGGCTCTAGACAAACATTGACCTGATGTGATGATGACATCATGTGAAAAGTCTTGTGGCATTAAAGATGCACTCTTCAAAGCACTAAATCTTTTGAAGTACGTGTCTGATTGGTTTGAAAATTTTGAGTACATTTGAGGACAGCCGAGAGAGAAGGGTTTTAGACCGAAATTGACATGTGACATTAAAAGTACATTCTTTAGAGCCCTATATCTTGTGGTAATACATGTTCGACTGAGTTGAAATTTGGTAGATCGCGAGAAGTGGATGAGTTACAGATGAAGTGAGGTTAAAGGTGCACACTTTATTCTCCAAGTCTTCTAATGTCCGGAAGGGTTTTCGCATTCCGCTGTCATGACGTCACCAAAGAAAATACTAGAATTATTTTTGTAAATGTTTGTAGCTTTGGGGTAGATCTTTGAGCAAAAAGTGAGAAATGAAAATGTGCTAGAATCTCAAAAGAACAAATGCTTTTTTTCTTAATAAAAAAAAGAAAATGCAAAAAACCCTTTGCTGTGTCCTGAAGACAAACAAAGCTTTTAGTTCTTTTTGTGTCTGCTGGCTGGACCCTCCAAACTGCAAACTTTTTTCTCTCAATCAAGTTTAGTTACATAGTGAAAAGAGACTTAGTTCTGCAATGTACATGTATATGGGTATAGTCTACATTCTAGTAAGTATTGCCATGAAATAACCTTGAACTACATCTTTAAAAGCATTCCAACGTTTTCAACATTTTCACGGTTATTCATTTATTTCTGATCACCAACAAGGGTTACCTGCCATTTACAGGCANCATACCTTGCTGCATATGGGGTCATAGGCTGTGTACGACTTCGGGTCCTGTAAAATGTTGATGGTTTAGTAATATTCTCATTTATATGTAAAACGTGAAAAAGCAAGAAAGAGCAAGCATTACATGTAACCACTGGATTGCACGCTGTATATGGATCACATTGAGAGCAAATCCACAAGGTTGTCATGCATCCTGCATGTACACGTACTTTCCATGTACTGTAGGCCTACATGTACATGCCATGGCTCGCCAGGTACATTTACACACACTCAGCCTATGAGCGTGAGAGCACAGCGTGATAAGCTAGCAATACAGTATGTGCACTAAATAACCTTTGACATTGTGGCACATCGTTCCCAACGTGGTATCCATTTTTACCTGTATAATGGGTTCCTGAAAAACACTTCATCACTGACTCGTTGTGTTTTTTTTATCAAGAATATCTCTAAACAATGGATACTGATAGAAAAATGTTGATGAATGCTAATTTGGGGAGGGGGACCTTGAAAAATAGTACTCTGTGTACTACTCTGGAAATGTTGAAAACTTTGGATGACCCCTAGGCTGACAAACACTTGTAAATTTGGTGTATATGTACAGTGTTTTGCATCCCAAGTGTATGGACTCTCATCAGTCCAATTTCCAAACTTGATGATATGTTGATCACTCCACAATAAATAATAAAAATCTAAATACTTTTCCCCATGATGTGATACCTACATTGCATGTACAGAAAAATTTTCCTCAACCAAGTTAATTTGCATCCAACCAAATTATACGTCTCTGTAAGAATTCTTCTACTGTGAATATGTTGCGAATAAAAGCAGTGGAACATACAGAGACTATATGCTTATTCATACTTAAGTTGGAGCCAAACCAACAACCCAGATTACACACATGCAGTGAAGGTGGAAGAGTAGTGCTCAACCTTAATACAAGATATTGTGACCTTAGACTGCTGTTTACTGCCAATGATAGTAAGATCTGACTTTACATTAATCACTTCTGCCGAGGAGTTTCAGGCACCATGTGTTTATACGCATAGCGGGGGTGCCCAGTTTCTGACAAAAGAGCTGGTCTGTGTAACTGTACTCGGAACAAAAAACCTGCTACTTGGAATTGCCATTATTTTTCGACTTCCATTTTTTCGAAGGTAATCCAGCACTGTTTTGAAACAGTATACCACTGCTTTAGGTATAGCGCTACTGTGGATTAGCACCGTGGACAAAAGTGCTCCAGGGCCCCATTGATGAGCGAGACAGTGCCGCTGTTAATCCAGCCACGTATGAAAACACGCTACTGGCATTCACAGGAACAAAGGAAATTATGCAACACCACTCAATTCTGGGCTCTCTTTTACAGGGCTGGGTTGAATACACGGGCGTCAGTGAAGTTTGCCTGACAGATTAGAGTAGCCACCAGAGAGTTGTTTGTGTGGGTGTAAACATCCAGTGTAAATGTCACAAACATGAGCCTTGTGGAATTCCACAATCCAACTTGAACTGGCCAGACAGAACACCATTTAGTTGTACACATTGACTCCTGCCAGTCAAATTAGACTTAAACCAGTCTAAAGCTACACAAGATATCGCAACTTTAAATTGAAGACAGTTCAATAATATTTTTTAGTAAACCATATCAAATGCAACACTGGGATCTAACAACACAAGCAGAGTGACGTGCTGGTAGTTTATTTTCATCAAAATGTCATTCCCTATTGCTTTAAGTAATGCAGACTCAGTGCTGTGAAAGTTTATGTAAGCTGATTGACATGTAGGATACAATGAATTGGTAACTATACGTACATGAATTTGTTCATAAAAAGCCCTCTCATTTAACTTAGAAATATACTGAGGATTACTAATAGGCTGAAAATTCTTTACAGCTGTGGAATCCAAGGGGAGAACAATGGCCTCCTTCCAGTAAGTGGAAAATGTACCGGTTTCTATTGAGCTTAATATTTCTGATAATAACTAGTATCAGAACGTCCAAACATTTAATTACTGATTGTGTTGGCATTTGGTCTAAGGAACACAATTTCTTGAAACCCGCTCATTAAGACTCCTAACACTTTGCTTGGTAAGTGACAAACATTTGTCAAACAGTACTTGTCCTGGTGCGTGTGTCTCTATGATAGGCGTTTCATGTGAAATTGCAGAATCAAGCTTTGCACAAATATCAGTGATCTTTTAAATAAAAAAATGACTTAAAACATTGGCTAAAGATGGAATTTGTATATTGAATGTGACACATGAATTAGGATTTGGTTTTAACAATTCATCAACAGCATTAAAAAAACATCTAGAATTACAACTATTCCTACGAATAAAATCAGTGTGCAACTGTTTTTGAGCAACATTCATTAAATACGTTGTTTGGTTTCTATACACGTTAAAGAATTTCAGATCATCAATATTCCTGGTAGTCAACCATTTCTTTTCTACCTTTTAATGCAAATTCTTAAGCAATATTATCTCCGTATTATACCAAGGACAACTAATTGTCTTAGTTTTAAGAGGTGCATGGTCATCAAACATATTCAAAAGTGTGGTGTTACAGCACTGCACAAGGTTAGTCAAATCATCCACAGATTTAGAACACAAAGTGTGCCAACAAGATCGGCATTGATGGAGTCAATATCAGTTGATTTTATGTTCCTTGACGTCACACTCCTTACTGGCAATTGGCAAAGGTGGTTTTTCTGGAGGTGTTAACAGTATACAGAATGGAAAAATGATCAGAAAAGAAAATGTTAGAAACAGTCAACTCATCAATCAAGTTATCACACGCAGGAGTGA